TCCGTCTCCCCCACCCAGCATGGCACCTTGGGCAGTAGCCGGCTCCTCGGACAAGGGGCCGTCCTGGTCCAGCCGATCCCTGGGTGCCCGCTGCCGGAACTCCATCGCCTCCTGCCCCGAGGAGCAGCCCCACGTGGGCAACTACCGCCTGCTGAGGACCATCGGGAAGGGCAACTTTGCCAAAGTCAAGCTGGCCCGGCACATCCTCACCGGCCGGGAGGTGAGTGAGGGGACGGGCGCGGCCGGGCCCCAGGCCTGCAGCACCTGCGCTTGGTGGGCGGTGGGGCGCGGTGGGCTTGGCCCCCGTTTTCCTTCGTGACCTCTCCTTAGGACAGATCAGAACATCTCAGATTTTTCCAGAGCAGCCAAGTAGGAGAAGAGAACCCATCTCAGGCATCCCTGAGATGGTCAGAAATCGCAGATCACGGGCAGAGCTGTGCGTGGTCTTTCTAATAATTTGTGTGGCCTTTGTGTCTGAGCCTGGGCACCGCCCTGTTTTCATAGTGGACTTGGACTCCAGCAGATCTCCCAGCGATCTTGAGAACACAAGGTTCATTGGAGTTCTCAAGTACACACTCTCCCTTCCTCCCCCTACGCCCTGCGGGTGGCAACACTGCTGCAGAAAGGGCCCAGGCAGACGGGGAACCTAGATATGAGGCCTCCAACTCACACTCAGCAGGAGAAAAGGTGGTGGGTGGGTTCAGGACTCCTCCGCACCGCCTTCCATTTTAAGCCAACGACGGGCGTGATTTCTCCCGCCTCGGACGAGCCCTCTCCTGCCCTTTCGCTGTCTATGCTGCACACACGAAAGACACCAGGCCCCAGTGGTTTTACGGGCAAATTGTACCAGACGTGCCCATTTTATGCCGGTCCTTCCGGAGACTAAAGAAGGAGGTTCCACTGCCAACGGGTGTTCAGTGCGAGTTCAGCAACCATCGCAAAAGCAGCTGAGAAGGCGATGTCAGCCTCCCATGGGAACAGAGGCCCAGCAGTCAGAAAGCCGTGTGACGGCAAAGCTGGGTTTAGCCGGGAATGCACAGTTCTTTGCAGATTCACAATTTATTCATGTATTTCGCCACAGCCACAGATTCAAGGAGAGAAACCATATGATCGCCTCAGTATCGGCGTACAAAATGTTTGACAGATTAGAAACCCTCTCGTGAGAATGTGAGGACAGCCAGGGACCCTCTCCCCCACAAAGAACAGGCCGTTCCCCGTGTGGATCTTGAACATGATTCCAGGGGGTTCCGAGGGGACCGGCATCCAAGGGAACAGGGCCTCCCAGGGGAAGACTTGTAATCCAGGGGGCCTGGGGTGGCCCCAAAACCCTTTGTAAAAGCTATAGACTTAAAGCTGGATTAAGACTTACAGGGCCCTCACTATGGCAAAACTTATGGTGCTCTATCCCAGGTGAAATTCAAAATAAAATCTCAGCTACAAGATAAATATAAGGAGAGTTCAGTAGCAGTCTGATCCCCCACGTGATGACCACCTCAGAGTTCTTTTAAAACTAAAAATGTGCACATGTAGTTTTAAGTGTTTAAGAGGTAGACTCTGTCAGGCTACAGAAGTTCAGGTCCCGGCCTGCAAACTTCCTCGCCGCATGGCCTTGGCCAAGTAACTGAACGGTTCTGTGCCTCAGTTTCCCCGTTTGTAAAGTGGGGGTCATTCTAGCACTCCTCTCACAGGGGTTCTGTGAGGATTAGAAGAGTTATCATTGGTAACGCACATGTGACTGGTCCGTGAGGTTAGCTTCAGTTATTGTTTATTCCCCAGTTTGTGCATTTAAAACAAAGATGGGGGGGATGAATGTTCAGAGATGCCCTCACAAAGGTCTCCCTTAAGGTCTCGGTCACACACTCACACAGGCCCCTGGAGCAGCCCCATCCAGGCCTCACTGCAGAATAGGGACTATTTCCCTATAAAAGTAAGGGTAGCACTGGACACGGTGGGAACAGCATGTGCAAAGGTCCTGAGACCCGGCTCCCTATCCACGAGGAATGGCCCAGGCTGAGGTTTTTCTGTGAGAGGGGGTAAAGGAAGGCCATCCCAGGTGATCTTGAGCTGGGGTACCTTGACCTTCCCCCCCTTCTTTCACCTCCAGGTTGCCATCAAAATCATCGACAAAACCCAGCTGAACCCCAGCAGCCTGCAGAAGGTGAGGCCCAGGGAGAGGGAGCAGCGTGGGGGTCAGGTTGGGAAGAGGGTCCTCAAGACCACCCACCCTCCTCTTTCCCCTTTCTTCCAGCTGTTCCGAGAAGTTCGTATCATGAAGGGCCTAAACCACCCCAACATCGGTGAGGAGGGCAGGGCGTGGGCTCTGAGGCTGCCCAGCAGGGCACCAGGGCACGGGAAGAGGAGGCACTGCGGGATTGGCAGTTACAATCGTTAGAAAGACCTGTTTTCTCACAGCGCTGTCCCTGCTCACGGGCTCTGTGGCCTTGGCCCAGTCACTTACCCTCTCGGAGCATCAGTTTCCTCCTCTGCAGGGGGTGTGATGTGGGGCCTTCTCAAGGTCGTTGTGAGGATTGGATAAGATTGTGCATGTGAAACACTCAGCTCAGCGTTAAGCTATGGGAGCCGGTCTGATTGTTGTCATCAGTAGCAACCATGGTCATTGTCATTGTCATGAGGCAAAGGAGAGAGAGAGGGCTCGATACCGAGAGAAGCGGGATTTGGTCTGGCCTGGATGTGGCCGCACCACTTACTCATCCTTTGTTTTTTCACTCGGTAAATATTGATCGGGTGGCCACTGTGTGCCAGATGCTGGGGATACAGCGGTGGAGAAAACAGGCACAAATCCCTGGCTGCATGGAGCTGAGCTGACATTTGTGAGAGAGAATATATAAGAGGTGTAACGTGGGGCTGAGGAGAGGAAAATCTTGCCATCAGTAGGGAGCCACTGAGTGTTCTTGAGTGAGGGTGTCATGGCTCAGCCATCCACACAGTTACGAGTGTGGTGGGTGGCGGGGTCTCTTCCTGCATAACCCGCCCCCCCCCCCACCCCGCCATTGCAGTGAAACTCTTCGAAGTGATCGAGACTGAGAAGACGCTGTACCTGGTGATGGAATATGCAAGTGCTGGTGAGGCCCCTCCCCGCCCCATCATGCTCACTGTGCCCCCTCCACACCACCCCCTCACCCCCTTGGGCTCTGCCCTGCAGGAGAAGTATTCGACTACCTCGAGCACACTGGCCCAAGAAGGAGAAGGAAGCTTCGAGACAAGTTCCGACAGGTTGGGGTTACCGCTGTGGGTGGGGCTGGGTGGGGTCCCTGGGGACGAGAGTCTGATTGCTGGGCGTGGATCTTGGATTGTCCAATGACGGCAGGGGTGGGGGTGGGGGTGAAGGTAGAGAGTTGGGTGTCCATGGGTGTGCAGATGCCCAGGTGTGAAGATATCCAGATGTAGCTGTGCAGGTGCCCAGTTCAGTGGGTGAGAGAGTCAGGCAGGACGGTGCCAGGTGTGCAGGTGTCAGGAATGTGGGTGCGAGGGTGTGCCCAGGGTGTGGAAGTGTGGCTAAAGGGACCTGGAGGTGCCAGGGTGCCGAGGTGTGAGTGGAGGAGTGTGGATTTGAAGACGTGTGAGAACTAGGTATGTGGGTGCCCAGGTTTGTAAGTGTGTCGATGTGCGGGGAAAAGTGTGTGCAGCCTGAGTATGGGTGGGGGGGGCCAGGTGTGGGTATATAGGTTGGTGAACAAGAGTGTATGGTGTAAGGACGTCCAGGTGGATAAGAAGGTGTTGCTGTCCAGGTATGTGGCAATGGGGTGTATGTGGCAATGGGGTGTAAGTAAGAGGGCATGCAGGTGTGAGGATGTCGGGGTGCTGGGAAAAGACACGCAGGTGCGAGGGTGCCCAAGTGTGTGGGTAAGAGGGAATACAGATGCGAGGGTGCCCGGCAGCCAAGTGCTTAGCAGGTGTAGGTTTGATGGGTACAGGGATCTGAGTGCGGGTGTTGGCCCGTGACTGTCCAGCAGTCCTGACACAGCTGCCTGGGACGTGGGGGGCTTCAGCCCTGGTGTGTGGGGCCACGGGTCCACCTGCAGGTGTGCCCCTTCCTCATGCATGTGTCCAGACGTGGAAGTCAGGCGGGGCTAGTCCCCGTGTGCTGCTCCGAGGTCGCTGCCGGGAGGGTGTCCTGATATCTGCGGGTGAGGGCTGGGTGCCCGAGGGGAGGTGTGTGTCTGCAGGTCCCGCAGCGTTTCCCGCCGTGACTGAGTCGGGGCGATGGGATATGCAAGTGCTGCATCAGCCTGGGCCTCGGGGCGGCCTGGGGTCCAGAGCCTCGGTGTGAGTGGGCTCACGGGGTCCCTGAGGGAAGCTGGGGGCTGGGGGGCCTCAGGTAACTGACCTTCCCTCCTCTCCCCCAGATTGTATCGGCTGTGCACTACTGTCACCAGAAAAACATTGTCCACAGGGACCTGAAGGTGAGCCCCCTCCCCACCACCAGCTCCCAGCTCAGCCCCGCTCCGGCCCCAGGGCTTCGCCTGTACCCTCTTCCACAGGCCACCTTTTCTCCACAGGCTCCTCCCTCAGCACCCAGGGCCCCTGGCCTTCATCCCAAGCCTTTCGTGGCAAAAGCAAGGCCAGCAGAGCGGGGAGCGAGTCAGGGGTGGGGTCAGGAGGAACAAACAAAGAGGAAGAAACAGAGTGTCCTAGACGCCGCGGTTACGTGTGTCCCAGACAAGGACACTGGATGACAAGGACACTGGGCGAGAGAGAGTCCTCACTCAGAGCCTTGGCCGTCAGACTTTAGAACATTCGGGAATCTTTGAGAACTGAGATTTCAAAGCCCTACAGTCACCCTGCCTCCAGGTCTCATCTCCCGGGCATCTTCGGGCTCGAGAAGGACGCACGAGAACCCTCACCGCTAGTGCCCGGCAGGGAGGGGACTCAGCGGCCGAGTAGGCGCAGCCCCTCATAGCTCGGGTCCCAGGGTCCCCGTTCCACACCTCCCACCCGAGAGAGCCCCACATCTCAGGACTTCTCGTCTTAGACCAGAGAGAAACGTTTGTGTGGCTCGAATAGAGTCGGCTTGCCTGATTCCTTGAGCACCTACTATGTGCCAGGCCCTGTGCTTAAGGGAGGGCTTCTCAAGGTTCTTCAGAAGGGGCCAGCCTTGTTTCCCTATCCGGTGCGGACAGGTACTTTGGTAAAGTACAATAAAAATGAAATGAAAAAAGATGTACAAAATACAAGCCCAACTTTTAAAATTATTATTAGATTCAAAAAACATAAAATTCCACTGTCAAATGGCTGGAGAAGTTCCTAAAAGCCCCTTCTCCCTGTGCTGCCCTGAAGTACCCCCCTGCTCTCAGAGCCGCCACCTCTAAGGTGCCCTGTGAGGGTAACAATGATGGTGAAGATCAGCCTGGAGGATGCGCGCCCCCTGGTGGAGGGTCCTGGAAGTGGCTAACAATTGGATTTCAGGACCTGATTAGGCACCAGAGGGACCACCCAGCCCAGCCCAGCCCAGACCAGGGGCTGGACTGCGGAGCTTCACACGCCACAAAGGGCAGTGCCACCTCAGAGCTGGGTGGAGGTTGGGGAAGGCTCTCTGAGATGTGGGTTTGTGGGTTTATCCTCCCGTTGGGTCAGAGGTGGGAAGGGGCCACCAAACTACCGCAGGAGGGAGGGAGGCCCGGGCCCGGGCAGGGCCGTGTTGGGACGGGCCACACTGACGGTGGGTGCTGTGCGCTGAGTTTAGTCACAAAGCCGGGAGAGGCAGGTGCCGAGGCTCCTTCCGCGCTCGGCTGCGGGCGGCCAGGCCTCTTGGAGGCCAGCGCTGCCGCTGTCTGCTGTGGACATGAGGCGTCTCCCTGAGCCTCCGTTTCCTCGACTGTGAAATGGCGATACAGGAACACGTGCCG